AGCGGCAAATAAAAAAAATGTTGTTTGGATACAGGTTTAAATCTAATAATGTTTAAAGAGGGGGCATTGCATGCTCAGACCCCTCTGTGCAGAGCCAGCCCCTCACAGGATTCTGAGGGAATAATTTTGAGTCCAGCATCACAGCACAGCATTTCTCACAAATTCAGTTTCCCTGAGCAGGGCTGGAAAATGCAGCTGTGATTTACACCACAAATCCACCACTCCTGCAGCAACAACAGCTTTCCAATGACCAAACAACACATCAACCCCTGCCAAGACACAGAGGTGACATTTACATCAGAAACTCTTGGAAATGAGATTTTCTCGTGATTCCAGATTTTCACCGTGCCTTGGTAACAAAGTCCTGCCCCGGCAGCAGCAATGAGAGCATTAATGTTATTTATGGTCAGTGTTATCCCCTTGTTCTGCTGTCTCACATCAAACATCGCACATCTGAGATTCCCCGGGCTCCTCCCCACCTCCTTTTGCTGCTCACATGCAGCTCATCCCCTCCCACACCTGCAGGTTGTGTTTTCATACACCTGGAGCAAGGAGTGGTGCCCAAGAGTGAACTGAAAGTGTTAAAAAACAGCAAATGAAGGGGTAAAACTTCACCCCTCAGATTTCCACTTAGTTCTCCAGGCCACTTATTTAGTTCCTTCTCCAAATCTTTGAATTCCTGATCTTTCCCCTCATTTTGCAGACAAACACCCCCAAAGCTGTATCATTCCCCAGCCTGGAACTTTATCTCTCCCTTTTCTGCATTTTGCTCCTCCAGCCCTGGTGAGCAGAGGAGCAAAGTGCAGAAAAGGGGAGGATAAAGAAATCCAAGCTCTGATCCACCCCAGTGCCTGATGCCAAAGCTGGGATGAGGGGATCCAAACCCTGGGGGTGGAAACACCAGCAGGGACACAGGGGGAGCAGGGGAGACCCCCTTGGTGCTGGGAGCCACTGGGTACAGCAGGGCCAGCTCCAGGGACACTGTGGGATCCAGGGACACTGTGGGATCCTGGCTCCCAAGTCCTGGAGCCACCATCACCCTTGCATCCCTTATCCCAGGGTCACCATCATCCCTGAACCAGCCTGACCCAGGCCTGGCTTTGGCTTTGGGCAGGGAAAGGCTGCCAAGGGGACTCTGTAGAGCTTGTGAAGGGGAAAATAAACCCAGTGAGCATCAGGAAAATGGAAGTTTCTCCCCTGCCTGGCGTTTCTTGCTGCTATCAGCAGTGAGGGATGGAGTTTGGGATCACGGAAGAGCCCAGGGTGTTTGGTGGAGCTGGGAGAGCAGGGACGGGGGTATGGCTCGCCCTGCAGCCCCTGCCCCGGGGGATGTGACCCACGCGGGACAGTGTCCCCGGCAGGGCGGGATTTGGGATTAGAGGGTTAACCCGGAGCCCGGGAGGCC